ATGAAATATCTGTTGTAAAACTTTTCGGTTTTTTTTTTGTAGGTTTTTATTTCTTGATCTACACACTTCCACTTTTACATCCAGTAATATCATCTAGTATACGCACTAGCGTGCACGTGCGCATACGAAAAACCAACTTACCACCACATTGCCTGGAACCGTACTGGGACAGCCATGTGGTCAGAATGTACGACATGCGTATAATATAAGTATTGCCAACATATACACCAGAAACAACATGCGTATATTAGTATTACCAACATTCCCCCGTAATCATAGCATGTAAATTAAATAATAATAACCAAAAATATTATCGTACAATCACATGGGCACATAAATTCAATTTATACAATCAAAAGGTTTCATGCCCAATGCATCTAGCAAATATTCATGCTTCACTTTAGGTAAACTCTTTGTCATTATATCGGCCTTCATAATTTCTGTAGGCACATATTCCAGATCAATCAATCCATTCTGTACTACCTCTCTTACATAATGATATCGTACATCGATGTGTTTACATCTGGAATGAAATACTGGATTTGAGGCTAACTTGATACAACTTTGATTGTCAACATTCATCAAAATTGGAGAGTCATCATTTAATAGTTCCATCAACAGTTTTCTGAGAAAGACACCCTCCTTACAAGCCTCACTTAGAGCAATATATTCAGACTCAGTAGTAGAAAGTGCAACACTTTTCTGCTTCTTTGCCTCCCAAGAAATAGGTCCATTTGCTAATTCAAAAATGTTTCCCGAGTAAGACTTCCTATCTTCTCCATTAGCATAATCTGAGTCAGAGTACCCAACAATGGATTTTCCTGTCTTAGAATACACCAAACACAGGTCCTTAGTTTTTCTTAGATAACGCAATACATGCTTGGCACATTTCCAATGTTCAGCCGTGGCACAAGAATTGTATTGACCTAGGAAACTGGCTGCAAAAGCAATGTCAGGTCTTGCTATAAGAGCTAAGTAATTGAGGCAGCCAACCAAACTTTGATAAGAGAAAATCTCACTTAACTTATCAGAATTGTTTCTGTCTAGCTTACAACCAGCAGGAAGAGGTGTAGATACATTTTTACAGTTTATCATGGCAAACTTTTCCAGTATCTTGCATATGTATTCCTCTTGATCTACATAAATACTTCCATTCCTTTTCCTAATTCTCATACCTAACAAGTACTTAGTTTCTCCAAGATCTTTTAATCTGAACTTAGATCCTAGTTTCTTTACAAGTCTTTCTTTTTCAGAGATATCATTGGTTACAATTAAGAAATCATCAACATATAATGCTAAAACAGTAAATGAATCATCCATCTTTCTGTAAAACATACATGGCTCATTAACAGAAACTTCATAACCAAGAGTTACCAACTCTTTAGTAATAGTAGTATTCCATGTACGTGAAGCTTGCTTCAATCCATACAAAGCTTTGTTTAATAGACAAACTTTATTTTCCAATCCTTCAACAGTAAAACCCTCAGGCTGAGTCATGTATATTTCTTCTTCTAATTCTCCATTCAAGAAGGCTGTGCAAATATCAAGACTATACATCTTCAAATTTAACTCAACAGTCAAGGCTAACAAAAATCTTATTACAGATCTTCCAACAACTGGTGAATAAGTCTCATTATAGTCAATCCCATCAATTTGAGAAAAACCTCTAGCAACTAAGCGTGCCTTGTATTTGGGATCACTCTGTAAGTCCTTTTTAACTACATACACCCACTTACATGAGATAGCTTTCTTACCTTTGGGCAGCTCTACTAGATTCCATGTATTATTCTGAATGAGTGCATCATACTCCTCTTTCATTGCCCTTTTCCAATTATTTTTATCAGGTCCTCTAACAGCACTTGAATATGAATCTGGACAGTTGTCAACAAAACTTTCAACAGTCATGAAATTAGTTTCATAATCCTGCAACCACAATGGTGGGCGTCTAACCCTCATCATTGTACCTGGTTCATTCTCAACCTGTTGTACAGGAACTGCAAGTACATCATCAGTTTCAGCATCACTTAATACAGATGCAACCGGAGTATGATCACTCTCATTCAGATTTACAGTAGAGTCATCTAATACTTTTTCTGCATCAGGTTGATCCCCACTATCAGAGATCTCAGACCCAAAATAGCTAGGCTTGATGAAATCAGTAGATGCATTTACATTCTCTTCATCTACACTAGCCCTTACATTTTCCAAGAAAATGACATCTCGTGCAAATGTTACCGATTTAGGGTTGGACAGATCAATCAGTCTGTAGTTTCCAGACTTCTCACAGTATCCTACAAAACACATCCCCTTCGATTTAGAATCCCATTTAAGCCTATTTTCCTTTGGTACATGCATGTATGCCACACATCCAAATACTTTAAAATGGGATACATTAGTCTTTTCCCCAGACCAGCATTCCTGTGGCGTCTTATTTATCAAAGCTTTGTGTGGAACCCTATTTTTAATGTAAGTTGCCGTATTGATGGCTTCTGCCCACATTCGCTTATTACACTTTGCTTCACTCATCAGACATCTGGCCATCTCACAAAGACTACGATTAACCCTTTCGGCTAATCCATTTTGTTGAGGATTATAAGGTACTGTCACATGATGCTCTATCCCATTTTGCTCAAGATAATCAGAGAAATGTTTAGAAATATATTCCCCACCATTATCAGTTCGTAGGGCTTTAATAGTCTTCCCAACTTGATTCTCAACAAGAGCCTTGAAATTACAAAAAACAGTAAACACTTCACTCTTAGACTTTATGAAATATACAAAAACCTTTCTAGAGAATTCATCAGTAAAGGTAAGAATATACTTAGCTCCATTCCAGGACTCAACTTCCATAGGTCCACATAAATCTGAGTGGATTACGTCCAGTAATCCTTTTGCTTTACTCTTACGTGCCCTAAATGGTTTCTTTGCAAACTTGCCTTTTATACAAGATATACATGTATCCGGTACAGTGTCATTAAAACAAATACCTTCACATACTCCATTTTTAGCTATCTTCATACTGGTTGGATTAATATGACCTAACCTCTTGTGCCAGAGCTGATAATTTTCATCTTTATCAGTTTTTGCCAGGTTGACCCGTTCCATCTCCTCCACATCCATTTTGAACAGATTCCCAACCTTAGATGCAGTACCTAGAACATTACCTTTAATAGACATATTATGTTTACTATAAATCCTACAACCAGATTCCTCAAACACAACAACATGTCCTTTATCAACCAATTTACTCACTGACAACAAGTTTGTTCTGGCTTCTGGAACATACAGTACACTACTAATATTTGAAATAGAGTCATCATTCTTAAACTTTACCCGAACAGAGCCAGATCCTAGACATTCTAATTTATTTGTTCCCGTAGTGAACACTTCTACTCCAGTCATCTCCTTCTCTTTCTTAAACCAATCCAGTCGAGATGTCAAATGAGAAGTAGCCCCTGAGTCGACATACCAACTAGAATCATCATTGGTCTCCAATGTCAGTGCTGCGAAGTAGGAATTCTCGCGACGAGATGTCTTCTCTTTCTTAGCTGACATCTTGTCTTCTTGCTTTGAAAAACTCTTCTTAGTTCCCTGTTTCGAGGAATTCTGCACTTTCTTGGGGCAGTCCATCCGTACATGGCCAATTTCACCACACAACCAACACTTAGGTTTTCTTGGAAACCTTTCCTTTCCATGAGACAGAAGAGCCACATCTTCTTTACTATGTAAGTTCGTGTCATCATACTCTTGCAATTTTCTGGAAATCAAGTCAGTAGAAATTGTTATACCACAATTATCATAGGTTTGTCTCATTGGTTCAAACCTATCAGGCAAATTTGCCAACATCATTGCCGCTACGAATTCGTCATCAAGAGGTTTCTTCATTGACCGCAGCTTATCAGCAATGTCCACAAAAGCATGAGTATACTCAGTCAAGTTTTTAAACTGTTCTAACCTCAATTGTCCCAGTTTGCGCAATAACTGACATCTTCGATTCAGGCCATCATCCTCAAAAGCTACAGAAAGCTTTTCCCACGCAGATTTGGCTGTTTCCGCATCACGAATGATAGGATAACAAATGGGCTTGACCATGAGGCCAATCTTTATTAGGGCCGTTGCATCATGCTGGGTCTTCTGTGTTTCGGTCGTAGTATCTCCTGTAGGGTATCCATTTACACTGTTCCAAATGCCCAATTCTTTGAGATAAAGCATCATTCCGAATTTCCAATCAGAATAATTTAAACGACCGTCCAGCTTTTCAATCGGTGGCAAGGTTGCAGTTGGATTCGACATCTTTGATAATACTCAAAAAATATCCACAACTCTTCAGTTAATTATATACTACGCGCAGTGGAAGAATCCTGGGCCCATAACCTGTTGTAAAACTTTTCGGTTTTTTTTTTGTAGGTTTTTATTTCTTGATCTACACACTTCCACTTTTACATCCAGTAATATCATCTAGTATACGCACTAGCGTGCACGTGCGCATACGAAAAACCAACTTACCACCACATTGCCTGGAACCGTACTGGGACAGCCATGTGGTCAGAATGTACGACATGCGTAGTATATAAGTATTGCCAACATATACACCAGAAACAACATGCGTATATTAGTATTACCAACAATATCAACATACTGCATGGTAAATCACATAACAAACGAATTTGAACTTACAACGGCCTACATCAACAGAATTTAACATATTTTTAACTTGTATACGAAATTCATGAATGCTGTCTTAATTCCTTTATTTTTATCTATATGGTTTATAGTTTCCTTTAATATGGTACATATGTTAATGTGGATAATTTGCTCCTATATGCGACACATTCTATATACATTGGTTTGTGAATCTAATTCTCAACCTGTATCTGGATCTGCTTGAATCTGAAATAACAGAACAGGTAAAAGAACCCTGAATGTGATATTGCATGACCAAACCATTTTGGGTACTTCAACATGTAATCAACTAATCAATATAAGGAAATGTCTCATACCATATGGTAAGTAAAATATCTATGAGTTGCTCCTTCTCACACTATCGTGCTTGTCCAAAAACGCCATTAATCAACTCTCAGCACCACGGGGGGGGGACCAACAGCAACAACCACCACCACCACCTTCATCACCTCTTCTCATTTGGAGAACATCTTCAGCATTGAATCGTGTAGGGTGTGCAGTTTGTTGGGTTATATACACAGGATGCAAGCTAGGTGGCCATTCATATAGTTGTGAGAGTGGAGATAAAAATTCTACATGAAAATAAGAAGAGTCAACAGTAAAATGGCCATTTTTTGAATGATTACCTGTGAGTATGAAGACATGTTCCACTGAAATGTTGGTACTCACACATAAGACTGCAGTGCCACAACACAGAAGACCACATTTCAGCATACTGAATTTTATATGACAATAATTTACAAGCTCTACAATAAACCTTTACTTTGTGTTAACAGCAACAGTATTTCAGAAAGTTTCAAAAGTATAAAATATTAAAATGTCAGTATAAAATACTGAAGTTAACTTGAATAATTGACAAGATGCAGTTGCTTTAAAGATTCGTTTCCATGAAAGTGAAATTCTAGAGCATCAGCCACAGAAAGGAGCTGTTGCTCCAATTTTAGGCCTTTATTTAAATCTGTCATGTAATGATTTTGCAAGATGTATGGTCAGGTTATTTAACTTCTTGGTGCAATTATTTTACATTTTGTTTACATAGTTAACAGTTAGTATAGTACACAATGAAATATGCTGAATATCATATTTAGCATGACTGAAAAGCTGATAGGTAAGTGAACCACAGATTGGCTAGGATTGTAATGCTACAGTCATATATTATATTCCAGCCATGAAAACCTAAAAATAAGTTACATTAATATGCCTAACAGTTGTTACTTTCCTTTTTGTGTTATGCCTAGCTCATCACATCATTCATGTTTAAATCACCTTATCAAAAACAGGAGAAGAGTACAAGTCATGGAGTTCTCTGTCATGTACCTTACTGTAGTAAAAGATCATTCTTTACAGTGAAATGTTTGTAAACATTCAACCAACTCTCAAACTGAAAAATCAAAACATGTTACAATTCTGTAACTACACATTCAACATCTGAACACCATTTTCCCTTTCACAGAGTGAGGACTTGCCATATTAATTTATTTCACTGTAATTACTTCAGTTACAAATTCAGTATTTTTTTTTATTTATCTAATAGTGTTCCACATCCCTTTCACTAACAGATGACAAACTCAGCAGAGAATTCTGCCATGAAGCATGAATTAAGGGATGAAGTAATGACTGGGAAACTTGATGTGCATTTGAAGGAATTAGTTTATTAATAATCTAACTCTCTGTCATTACAACTGAAGGTTTCAACACTACTAACAGAAAAGATGTCCACTGGAAATGACTATGAAATAATTCAGTTCATTTCCACTCAATTTACTTCCTAATAATCCTGATTTATATTATTCTCAAATCATGTAGGTTTTCCAAGTTAACACATTCTTAGAATATTCTCAATCAGTATTATCTGATGATTTTCATGTACAGTGTAAGATATTACCAGCTTGAGAGGTAAATATAATTTTAGCTATAAAAACTGCTCAGTACACACTTACAAGCTAGAAATTCATCATTTCACAAAAACATACTCCTGTTTGGGCCCCTACTTTCCACACAGCCTAAATCAAGACTCATAATATATATAAAAACTGGTTCACTATTCAGAAAAGGGGCATACAGTATAAATTGTACTATTTATAACTCATTAAGAACAAATAATTTGTTCAAAATATTTTTCAATACAAAGAAATTTTGTGAACTACAAACACAAAAATAGCTGATGATACAAACAGTACAATACTTGAGCTTCTACTCTGCACCAGCCTAAGAATATAAATTATGATTTAAGCAACATTCCTCCACTGTTGATCAGCACTAACCATAATACTTTTTATTTTCCACCAAGGTGGATCTCCATACAATTACATCTCCTTGATTCTTTTGCTACCATACAAAATTCCAATGAGAAATTGCAAATGCATATGGAAGCTATGAGCATTCTAAATTGAAACCCACAATTCTAATCCACCAAAATGTATTTTTATATGGTCCCAGACTAAACAATTCTGGTTTGAGAGGCTTATCTCTACTAGACATACAACACAAAATGGCAGTAACATGGAGCACTCTCTGGCATACATTTAAACACCAGCATGGGTTCGACTGTGAACAACAAGAGCTTTTCGTTGAGTAAACCTTTTACCACATTTTTCACATTTAAAGGGTTTCTCACCTGTATGAGTTCGTGTATGTACCACAAGTTGTCCACATTGTCTGAAACACTTACCACAATATTCACATTTATAAGGCTTTGCTCCAGTATGGATTCGTGTATGACCAACAAGATGCCCACGCAATGTGAAACTTTTATTGCATATTTCACATTTATAGGGCTTTATTCCAGTGTGCGTGCGAGTGTGACCCACAAGAATGCCACGCTGAGTAAATCCCTTATTACACACAGCACATCTAAATGGTTTCTCTCCCGTATGTATACGGTTATGAACCACAAGTTCATCACCTTGAGTGAATGTCTTGCCACACACTTCGCATTTATAAGGCTTTTCCCCTTTGTGTCTGCGTGTGTGAACAACAAGATCCCCTCGTAAGGTGAAATCTTTATTACATATTTCACATTTGTACGGCTTATCACCAGTGTGAGTGCGAGTATGAGTTCGAAGATGTGCACGTTGGGTAAAACCTCTACGGCATACTTCACATGTGTACGGCCTTTGTCCTGTATGAGTACGAATGTGAGCCACAAGATCTCCATTCTGGGTGAATCCCTTATCACATATTTTACATTTATAAGACTTATCTCCAGTGTGGATACGAGTGTGAACTGCAAGATGTCCAGGCTGAGAAAAGCACTTATTGCAAATTTCACACTTAAAGGGTTTATCACCAGTGTGTGTGCGGGTGTGAGCTGTAAGTCCTCCACTATTCGTAAAACATTTATTACATATATCACACTTGTATGGCCTATCCCCAGTATGGGTACGACTGTGAACCTTCAGATGTCCAGGTTGTGTGAAACTTTTATTGCATACTTCACATTTGAAAGGCTTGTCCCCAGTATGGGTGCGATTATGAATAACAAGATGAGCTTGACGTGTGAACATTTTACTACATATATCACATTTGAATGGGGTATCTCCTGTGTGAAGCATCTTATGCCTAACAAGATTTTCAATATGAACAAAGCGTTTGTTGCATAACTCACACTTATGACAATTCTCATCATTATCTAAATACAGGCGATTTCTCCTACCATACACATATGCCTGGACTACTGGTTTCGTAACAGATATGTGTCTTAGTATTCCACCAGGTGTTTCAGAAATGAAGACACTTTCTGAAGGCGGATCAATTCCTGTCACATATTCCTCTTCAGTATTGTCACAGTGTGTTACCGAACTGTCAGCATGTTCAATGGGATTTTCCAGTTTGATAGGAATTGGCTCTGAACTGCAACAGAACATTCATGCTATATCTCAAAGCATTTCTATACTTCTTTGAAAGCTAATGTAACAAAACTAGACAAGTGCTGCAAACATCAGTGAAAGAGCTTAACATCTTAAAAATGGTTAGACACTTCCTTCAGTAACCCAAGAAACTCGTCTACAATGGGCAGTCAAAAAGTTGCCAGAATTCCCTTGCAGAGAGAGAATGAGAGATAAGATAGCGCACACATTGTTGTGGCGGGGAGCTCAGCATGTCTGCTCACAAGTGCCAAAAATCTGGACAGGTTTCACCATGCAGTGTCATTACTATTCCATTTGAGTTAGGTGTGAATGTTGGTCACTCGGGACAATGTCACAGTCTGAACAGTGTGCAAACACCAAGTTCATGTAGAAATTGGGAAAATATGCTTCAGACGCTACTAGCCCTGCAGTAAGTTTATGGTGTTACTGCACTAAAAAATCTGCAGTTTTGCGACTGCTTTTCTGAATTTAAGAATAGACAGGAGTCACTGGAGGATGACCAGTGCAGTGGGAGGCCTTCAACATCCAGAACTGAAGAAATTACTGAAGAAGTGCAACAACTTATTTAATCTGATTGAAGAATGACTATCACAGTGCTGGAGCAAGAAGTTGCTATCTCTCATGGACCCATTCATGCGATTCTGTCTGATGATCTGAAGATGAGACGTGTCAGTCCGAAGTCTGTTCCAAGGCAACTGACCATGTATCAGATGGAATGTCACATGATGGTCGCTGGAGATGTTTGAGAAAAGTACACAGGACCCAACATTTCTCAAAAAGATCATCAATGGTGATGAGTCACTGGTGTTTGCCTATGACCCAGGGATGAAGATGCAGTCATCAGAATGGCGACCCTCATAAATCACAACTTTTCTGAAAATACTGCTGACATCCATGAAAAACCTCAGTTGGAATAGTTGCTCTCCTGGATAATATTCCATTACAGTGATATACTCTGGTTTGCAGAGCATATTTTCAAATACATCATTTGCTAACTCACATGGTGACATTCATTTACAGCAGATACACATCTGTTGTTGACAGAGCTGACTGACTTTACAGGAGAAGAATGAAAAACTATTTTTCCAAAAAGAAAAGGAAAAAATCTTACATCTGCAGGATGCACAAATAGAACTTATTAAAGAACCAAATATTATTTGTTATAATTACCTGAAATTTCAAGCAACCATTGTGGAAAAGGTAACTGTTAGTACATCAATGAAACATATTCAAATTAACAAACACAGAAATGTAATTAACTTATGAACAAACAAAACAAAATAAACTATTTGTGATTGCTGAGCCCATACTGTGGACCCCAAACATTTTGAATTGGATGCCATGTTTTTCTGGCTCATAAAATAATTAAAATAAGATTTTCACCTGTAAGCTGGTTTCATGATACTGACTACTTCAACTTTGTCACTGGAAATATTGCATACAAATGCAAAAGCAACCACATAAAGTCTCTGTCCATAGAAAACAAGGTTTCTAAAATATGCAGCACACAAGAAACTTCACACCTGTATATTAACAAAATCTATTACAGTATTAAATGGTGCATATGCCCTAAATCAAACTGCACACAAGGTACTACTCTTACAGTATGGCCTGAGTGCAGCAGGGCGTCGAGCGTTTGGTGGGGCGGGGCGTGCAGCGTGCATCACAAACCCATTTGAATATACTGTTGTGTCCTCGGACCGAGCGTTTTGAGTGGAGCGGGCAGCATGTTGTACTAGCGTGCAGGTGAAACCAGTTTGTGTTTCAGTAGCATTTGGAAGATGTCTTTTGAGGATATAAACGCTGAATGCTAGAGGTCCACTGAGGATACAGCAGCGGCCTGCTCCTGTCCCTGCCATAAAGTTGCCCATGCCCCGCCGCACTCAGGCCATACCCTTACTAGTAGTTGTAGCGTTTAATTGAAATGTTTCTAATTCATTACCTAGCCAAAAACATCTAAAATTAGACCTAAGCCTTTAGGTATTCATGTCATCCAGAAGGAACTAAACTGAATCAAATAAACAAGCACAAGATTTCATCAAAATCTATTCACACGACATGTATTAATTATTATATGTGGACAGACAGAAGACACTGCCATGTAGAACCACTGCTAGGCAATGACCAAAAAATAGTAACTGAACATGTTGTTAAGTAATAGCTCTGCAAACAATGGCCGTTCATAGACATTGGCCATAAACAGCAACAGAGAAACAGTGTTCTCTGCGCGGTCCTTGCTGCGATGTTATAAGCAGAGTAAATTAGGAGCCGGTTAGAGAGAGAGGTTCAGCTGTTGTGAGCTGCTGCTGTAAGAAGCTGGTAGCTGAGGCCAGGGAAAGTTAAGGAACCCAGAGGAAGGGGAACGTCCACCGTTGAATGCCACTACCAAGCAACAGCTAGTGAAGACTGTAACAGGCTGAGAAGACCTAGAGCAGCCATGTCAAACATATGGCCCGCGGGCTGCATGCGGCCCCCATAGCCACAAAGTGCAGCCCTTCAACTTTTAGAGCTAATTGATATTAAAATAAATATTAAAATTTTAGTAGAAATATTTTTTATAACGACAATTTTCCAACAGACCAGAAGACAAGAAGTCTCACGCAGACATATTCAGTTCAGTTATTCAGCATAGAGGGGGTGAGTTTCCCCATGCACCGTGACTAATAGTCTATTGTATGTCCCCCTTTAATTTCTACTGTCGCCATACCCTACCGATACTGGTGCCCGCTATCTCCCCTTTCTGCCAGCGAGGTCGGCCCTCTACTAGCATTGGTACCCGATACCTTCCCCATCTACCGGAGGTATTGGAAACTACTTGGGTGGGAAACATTTTGCCTAATTTTGCTCAGAGGTCTCCTAGAGACATGAGGATCTTTTACGTGCCGTAAATCTACGACATGGGACCCACGGCTTAAAGTCCCTCCTGGAGGACTTGTTCCCTGAATTTTTCCGTCCTTAAAAATTCCACGACCTCCACCGGGTTTGAACCTGCATACCTTGAGTCATGAGGTGGGAACGTTACCCCCAGACTACGGAGGCCACTTCATGCAGACATAAATTAGCAGGCTGCAGGAAAAGTGATTCTGAGAATTGCAGAAGGGTTTGTCCAACTAATGGTGTGAAGAACAAACTATTGTATTTCAGAAGGTTAATGCACTAAAATCCACACAGCCTCACCACCCCAAGTATTTCCAAGAATCCCTTTTGGAGGCGTAGTAAGAATGCAAGGAGGGTGGCAACTGACAGACAAGTGCGAGGGATTTCTACCTTCAAAACTAGCTTGCAACCCCCAGCCATTGTCTAATGGGCTGCTAGCAAACTTTCACTTTTATGACCATTGAGACAAGATACAC